CTGTGCATGGGGTCACTATGAGTCGGTTCCAACTCGATGGCACCTGACAACAACAACAACATTGGAAGAAAACTTCCCTAACATCATACAAGACAAGAAGATAAGCATACAAGAAGTGGAACGAATCCTAAACAGGATAGATCCCAAAAGAAAATCACAAGACCAAGACATATCATAATCAAACTTTCCTAAATCAAACATAAGGAAAGAGTCCTGAGAGCAGCTCAGGAAAAATGAAAAGTTATCTACAGAGGAGAACTAATAAGACTAAGTTCTGATTTCTAGTAGAAACCATGCAGACAAGAAGGCAGTGGGATGACATACACAGATCTCTGAAAGAAAAAAATTGCCAACCAAGAATCATATATCCAGAAAAGCTGTCTTTCAAATACAATGGAGAAATTAGGACATTTCCTGATCATTAGAAATTAAAGGAATTTGTAATGACCAGACCAATTTTACAAAAAATGCTAAAGTGTGTCCTTTGGACTGAGAGCCAACAACAACAGACAACAACCTAAGATTACCATACATGACAACACCACCCATATATATAGAAGTATTTCAAGTAAAATAAACCTATAGACTGAAACTGTTGTTGTTGTTAAGTGCCGTCGAGTCGGTTCCGACCCATAGCGACCCTGTACAGGGTTTCCAAGGGTGTAAATCTTTACGGGAGTAGAAAGCCTCATCTTTCTCCAGTGGTAGTTTCGAACCGCTGACCTTAAGGTTCGCAGCCCGATTCGTAACCACTACGCTACCAGACTGAAACTAGGGAATGAGAAATGTAAAAGTACAACGAAGTCATCTTCCAAGCAAAAAGAGGAAATAGTATAGATACAGAACTTACAAAAGGCAAGGAAGCCAAGTAGATTTCAAGAATAAACTGACTGTTTTAAGCAGGGAAAAAATTAATTACCAGGTAACCTCAAAAAAATATGAAAGAGGAAAATCAGAAAGATTTAGTAAGCGTTAACACAACAGAAATGAAAAAGAAATCCCACAAACAAAATGAACTCAGCATAGAAATTATGTGGAACAAAATCCAGAAGCACCCCAAAAAGCAAACAGAAAAATGACACCAATGTATTCATACTCATTGAAAATTACACTGAATGCGGATGG